GTTGTAGCCTGTACAAAGTTTGTTGATACTCAGGCAAGCTTGTGTTCTTGGACCACTGATGAGGCTGTAATGTCAGACAAGATATCTTGACATTGTGTTGTCTGGTGTACCTTTTTACCTTGACAATGTGATTATAGGTCTGGTTGTTAGTTTGAACTAGGATTGTGCTCACTTCTTATGAATTACCTAGGAAATAACATTGGTTATTATCTGGGAGAATTTATTTTTCTCTGCAGAATATTTGTGTGTCTAAAATTGGGGATTTAAAATCAATTGTTACTTGTGGCCTTATTAAGTAATTAATTGATTATCCTTTTAATTGGCATGTCAAAAGAGTCACTCTTGAAGGTGCAGATTCAAATAGGGCAATAACTCAAGATTTAATGACTATGTTCATGGGGTAAGGGTATGTGGAGTTTATACTGTGGTGGTTCTTTCTCATCATGATGAAGCATGCTGCATGATTGGTTGTCATGGAAATGGTCATAGTGAAGAATCCTTTTTCCCCAGATATTGATGGATCTGTGCAAAAGGAGAGTATATAGAAAGTAAAAGGAGAAGTAGTTTATGTCTATGACTTGGTGCTTGTAGTCTGACTGATTGATGAAGGAATCATTTCTTAAGGTGCTTAAGAATAAATTTTTGTATTTGTAATGACAGGTAGGATGTCTGAACATTATGTCCATGACTTGGTGCTTGTAGTCTGACTGATTGATGAAGGAATCATTTCTTAAGGTGCTTAAGAATAATTTTTTGTATTTGTAATGTCAGACAGGATGTCCGAACATTATGTCTATGAGGAAGTTACATAAGAGTTTATTTCCCTCTATGATTTTCTGGTGTTTGTGAAGCTGTTGTTGTGTCCTTCTGAGACTTTCATGTGTATGTATGGACTACTATGAAAATAATAAGTCATGTGGTTGGTGTCTTAAGAACCAAGGTGAGTGGTAAAGGAGTTGTTGTCATACATGATGGGCTGGAATTAGGACTGTTATTCTTGATACTCACAATCTGATTTAGAAGTGTTTTATCTAATCATGCTGGAGTATGATATGAAGGTAGTGGTCAAGACTGCTCTGGATCATGGTGTAAAGTAGTCAGTGTGCTAGTTCATTTGCATAAGTTGGAGATAAAACTTAGTGCCCTAATTTATGCTGGAATCATAATGCTTGTGGGGAGGTGGTTTCTTCAACTGGAAGTGATCTGGAAAAGATTAATAACTTGTAAAGCAATGAAATTGAGAATTTTGTGCTAGATTGATAACTTGTCAAGACGGGTGTGCATGACATCTTGCCTATCCAAGGAGGTATGATAACTTGTGTGGATGTGTAAGGCCATTTGTCATATTTGTTCAGGGAGGATGATTAGTTCAGGGTGTCAGGATGTATTCTCCAAGGAGCTATGGTATCGGGATCTGTACGAATCAGGATTTATTTTATAGTGTTTGAGTGAGTTCAGAAGGGGGTTTAAGTCCTTGTCCATGGATTGTTGCCGCAGTGGTGCAGTCTTCATATGGATTGGGGATCAAGCAGTTTGTGTATCTCTTGGGAGGTTGTCTGATGTCAGACTGGATATTTGGACACGATGTGCAGTTTGTCAGAAGCATGATTATTCTAATTCAGTTTTTGGGTTTGGCTCTGATTGACGTGCATCTGAGTTTATAAGTGTGTACATTTACTCCAATTTTTGTCAATGTTTTGGCTAAAAAGGGGGAGTAAAGTAGTGTTTTGTTGTTGCTTTCTAAATGCAACTATTAAGGGGGAGCATGATATTTTGTGATGGGTGTATTTGAGAAGAATACTGTTGTTGCTGCTCTGATAAGTCTATATCTCAAGATTCATCATGGTCTGGTTGTTTTAGCCAAAATTTGCCAAAGGGGGAGATTGTTAGCTCCATGATTCTATGATTGGATAAATTTTGGTAAAACATGATTATGCACTAATGTTAAGCAAGATGTTATAACATCTTCATCTACTATTATGACAATACTGCTTTCATGTGTTTCAAATAAGACATTGAGACAGATGTCGTGACATCTTTGTCTGGTACAACATGCGCTGCTATTTTATATCTCTTGACATATTTGATTTGGTTTGATGAGTTCCTGTTGGATATACCTCATCAGTATGCGCAGGTCAAAGAGATTTATTAGGAACAAAGTGCAGATGTAATTGGATTTCATAAAAAGGATCTTTGAGACTTTTTAGGAAACTAAAATATTTGTTCCTATGAAGAAGATTCTGGAGAAGATTTACAATGAGAAGATTTGATTTGATTTGATTAAATATGAGTTGGTTTTAATTATGAGAAGATTTGGAGTTTGATTTGATTTGATCAAATCTAAATTAGTGTTAATTATGAAAATATTTGAAGAATTATTTGATTTTATTTGAGGAAGTTATTGCTGAAGTCCAAGCTCATACTAGTAGAGTCTATAAATAAGGACTTGCTAGACCTAAAGAAGACAAGCATTCACAACAAGAAGACCTTGAGTGCAAAATAAGGGTTTAGGGTTTTGAGAGTCTCTTGTGTGTGTGACTTTGTAAGTCAGCCTTTGTATTTTTTGATGCATCGTGGTAGACATATGTTGTTAATTGTAAATTATTCACTCAAAGCTTGTAAGAAAGAGTGTATTGTTCTTGATTGAAGCTGTTAAGAAAAATCAAGTATTGTCTTTGAAGAATGTCTTCAACATTTTATTAATTGGTTGTTATCACTGCTGTGATTGAGAGGGAGTGAGAGGTGTCTCATATCTAGGAGTGTCCTAGGTAGAAGTTGCACTGGTAGGGATTAAGTAAGGAGTTCACTACAAGAAAAAAAGGAGATTTACGACACTTGAGTTGCGACAGTTATCACAAAACCGTCCTTATTCTTGAATTATGACGGTTGTCACGACAGTTAGGGTCAATTGTCGTAGATATTTTGCGACAGTTATAAAAAAACCGTCCTTATTTCTGAACTACGACAGTTCTCACGACGGTCTGAGCCAACCGTCGCAGATTTTTTAGGCATGTTGTATAAAATAATTACAACAGTTACCAAAGAACCGTCCTCTTTCCACACTCGCGACAATTAAGTCGAACTGTCGCAATTATTTTAGCCAATCATAATCATTATTTTTTTGTTCCTTTAATTTTCCACTTTTTTCTTTCATTTTTATTTTCCAACCTTTTCAATTTTATTAATTAATTCAATAAATAATTATTATAATTATTATAATTTTCATGATAATGTAGCTTAATATTTTTGTTTCAAGCAACCTCATCGTCGACCACATACTCTTTTTTTCGACAGAGGCAGTTGGAAACGAAGGTTGAGAGAAATTCTCAAGCTCTCCTTCATTTAAGATCTTCAATGAACCAGATAAATTTTGATTTGAGTACTTTTTTTCTTCTTCTCCACCGTGAGACACTATGCCGGATTCTTCTCAAGCAGTCGAAGATTCACAATCATCCGGGATCATGGTTTCACTTTTACCCTCTTCTTTCAACTATTATCTATTCTCTATATCGCGTGACATGATTTAGTTTGAAACTATGTTCTCTTAAATAGAGGAAAGTGACTTTTATCATTTGATTAGGTTTATGAAGTAATTAGTATCTCATACTTGTTCAATAAAATAATTAAAAAAATTAATTATGATACTTTTAAAAACAAACACATATCCTCAATTTTTTTCTAAATTTAATTTAACTAAACCATTCTTTTTTTCTTATTATGAAATACTAAGTTAAAGAATAAACCAGGAGAAGAATAAAAATTGAAAAAGGAAAAAAAAGTAAAACCTCTGAAAAACTCTTTCTTTGCGTTCAGTTTGTTCCAATTCAGCTCAAAACCCTAGCTTTGTAAAAATTCAGGTGATGCTAATTTCTCCAATGGCTTCTCATTTCCGATCATCCTTACAACCAGCGTTCTCCCTAACCAAATCCACCATCGCAAAACCCAAAACCTCCTCACCGTTTCTCATCAGAACTCGCTCTCCCGTCACCGTCCGGCAAGTCCTCATCTTCGCTTCAATTCTTCCATTTCTTACAAATTAACGGAATCTTAATTTTCATTGTTCTTTCTCCGTTCAAGTCTGTCGCGGAGCTTGGTTGTGTGTAGTCGCTGCTTCCGTTGTACTCGGCGGTTTCATCAGTGCGCCTCACTTGCCTCAGAATCAATTCAACTAGTTAAAGATCTTTGTCTCAGAGTATGCTTTGTAGTGCCAATCCTGGAGTCTGATTTCTACGATTCTTTTTATCTCCTTTTGTATTCGTAAGCATATTGCAACTTTCACTCATTATAAAATGAATTTTAATTGATTCTATAATTTTTTTTAGTTGGATTGCGCCTTGAAATGGCTAGGGTAGGAATTAGACGTGCTCATGGGAAGGATTCTCTCCGCCTTAGACTCTTACAAGGTGGTCGCTATCCAGAACTTGCATTGTGAGTTATTTCGGTGGACTGCTTATCTTTTTGTTGCCTTTGAAATAATCAAATTACTGGGATGCAATTAAAAGTAGAATAATTATCAGTATTTGTTTGTTGATTTTTAAGTTGGCTGAATATTTGTACATACGCATTTGAGACTAGAGCTTCTTGAAGGGGTGGTGGCATTTCATACTGGCCAGTTGGAAAAATCAAAGCAAGCATTAGCTTCTGCAAGGGCAAAGTTTGTTCAGGTGGGTTGAAGTATTATAGCATATTGTAATAAATTTGAGTAGGATAAAAATCAACATTTATGCGTATTCTAGTTGTTGGTCTCCTTATTTGGTCTCACAATAGTTGATAGTGGTCCTATATATAATAGTCTTTAGAGCTTATAGGATTGAGTCATGGAATTATTGTTTTGAAAATGTAAAATAAGAATGCCAGCAATAGACTCATAATGAGCCCAACTCTCATAAAATGTTCTCTTGTGTTGTAGATGCAAGTGCCAGATGAAGCCTTATCACTTGTTTTGAGCATGGGCTACAATTAATGTAATGCAAAAAGAGCATTGAGAATGAATAATCAAGATGTTGGGGGTGCCATTAATTTTCTTGCAAAAAAGGGAGGAAGATTTAAAAAGAAGAAATGAAATTTGGTAGGTGCAACTTGATGTTTATTGACTTTTTATTTTCTTTATCTCGATATATGAATAGCTTTCTTCCAGGGAGCAAAAGAAGATTGGCGTGACCCCCTTAAAAAAGGTCGTGGATTTGGAGAGACTGAAGGAATTGGTCACTATTGGGTGAGTGTTGTTTTTTTGTTCTATTGGATGCATTTGTTTTGAATTTGTAAATAGACTAGACTACTCTGGTTTAAAATGAGCATATTGGCAGATAATAGCATCAAAAGAAGGTTTTAGGGGCTATTATCATCCATTGCTTATCTGCCACTTATAATTTTTATGTCGTAGAATCTATGACTTCATATATTCATTTGTAACATATCCTTACGATTTATTCTTACTGATCTTTACTGGATAAGGATAATAAAATATTAATATATAGGTGTTTCACAAAACTTCACATTTACTATTCTAGTTAAACTTGACACTGCTGTTCTGGCAGGTTTGAAAAGGAGCTCGCTGCTGAAGCCCTTAAGAGAAATGAAAACGATACTCAGAAAGCATTGGATGATTTGAAGAATCCAGAAACCAATTCTGATTTACAGGTAAAAACATGTCTTAACCGAATTCTATGCAACTTTAAACTATGTTATAACTTATGTTAATCAACACGAAGGATAATATCGAGTCAAGGAAAAGGAAAAGACAGAAACAAGCAAAAGATTCTGCAATTGAAAGAGTTGTGCAAATGGGGTTTGAAAGATCAAGAGGTACACAAGTTATTTAGATTTTAGGCACAATAATTTGTACAAGTGAAACATTACATAGAGTTACAGGGTTGTCCTATTTTATTCTTATTTCCTGCTTCTTTATAGTGATTGCTGCTTTTGAGGAAGACGACAAGTTAGACAAAGTATTCCAAAGACTGAGAGCACAACCTGCGGTGGAAAATATGTAACCTCAAGGGAATTTAACTGCTGCTTCCCATGACAATGCAAGTTTATCTAACCCTTTACCAGGCGATGTTAATTTTGATATTTTAGACCTAATGAATGAGGTTGAAAATGACAAAATTTAGGTGAGTAGTCCATTTTATAGGTTATATTTCATTTTGACTTATGACATAATTTACCTGCCAATTATTTATTTAAGTTGTATATTTATTTAAGCTGTAAAAAGTGATATCTATTGCACCAAGCACCCTCTTGGAACTTAATTAATTGTTTATGCACAATGTTGATATATATACTTTTCTTCTTCATTGTGGTAATTAGCTTCTTTTGTTGATTTTCCTCAATTTCAATCACTGATCTCGGCTTTACAATTTAAGCTCTATTTGGATAATCTAAATATGTTAATTTTGTGTTATGTCAGGCTATATTTCCACCCCAAGAAACAATCTGCGTTCCCGAGCTTGGGGTGTTGTACCTGGTTGTAGTTATAGAGTTGAGCGATGTTGTATCGTGAAGGTATTAATAAAGGCCTTGCAAAATCCCTTATCCTTTGAACTTTTTTAGTCTACTGAAATTATGTGATCTCTTCGTTACAACCTCTTCTACTTTAAATGCTTGTCATGCACTATAGTTTTCTGTTTTCCATTCCAAGTGTATTGTTCTTTACTTTTTTATTCTCTTTCATGTCGTATGAAAATGGTCGGGCCTATTGTGCAAATCCTTGGCTTACAAGTTGAAATTGTAACAAGGACGTACTTTCTTTTTCAATGTGTTTTATTTTTTGTCTTAGATATTGTATACATGCTATGTGTGATGTGGTTAAAAAATTAGAGAACGCAAGGTTAATGATTGAAGACTTTTTAATGTTTGTGTTTATTGTGTGAATATCATGAAGATTGATGATTGCCATTAATGTAACCTACAATAGTTGTATTCTGAATTATAAATTGAGTTAACGTAACCTAATTTTAAATAGAAAAACTAAGATTCAACAGGTTTTACTTTTAAATTCACGCTAACTTTTCAATACTTAAACTATGCATTTCCTCTATTCCCTTTTTCATTTTGCATGCAGCTTGTCGTTTTACTCATAATTGACTTATTTCAACCACTGTGTGGCTTCAACTATTTTCCTGCAACGCTATCTGCTATTTCAGATGGCAGTTTTTCAACATGTTATTTTTTGCAATCATCTATTGATGACACTAATATTTAGAGTTTTGAGAATGCAAAAATTGTGAATATGTCTTTTTAGATATTGTTTAAAGAATGAAAATAGATATTTTGTTGATACTTGATGTGTTGGTGATGGAGCATTGATAATGTCCATGCATGTATTTAATCCTTGTCCATGTTGGCATAAGCAGAAAATTTGGTGGAAAACATCCCAGGGGATTTCGAATATGAAGTTCAAGTTCCATATCTATTGTATAGAAATGCTGCTCAAGAAGTGAATGGTATTTGGTTCTATAACGCCCGTGAATGTGAAGAGATTGCAAATCTTTTTAGCAGGTATTATTTTCAGGTTTTGGCAAAGTTTTAACTCTACAGTGTTTTTGAGTAATCAAGAGAGAATACCTCATGTTCGGATTAACTTATTTTGTTTTCAAAACCTCTTATAATAAACACATTAATGAGAGAGATTTAGAAATAGGAAAAATCAATATTGTTGCGGTGGAAATAGGATATCAAACTATTAATTAGTTTGAATCACAATTCTTAATTCACAACCGCCCTTTGATTTATCCGAAGGAAAAGGTCAAAAGAGGAAAAACCTAATTTTTGCATTGTAAACACAATGCGGGGAGAGACCTAGGTAAGGGGTTGGTTAAGTTTAGGGAAGGTACTAGCACCCTAAACTTTTGTAGTACTCTACAGGAACCTTTTGTTTAATGTATGCCTTTATATTTTTATTATCTGTATATATTGAGCTAAGGGATAGAGTGACCTAAAAGACCTAAGGGTTAGTCCTAAGTTTACTCGCCAAGACGTTGCATCTTGTGCCTACATATCCTGACGGGAATGGAATCAGAGTAATTGTAGTTCCCCTCAAAAGGGAGGTTAGAAACGTCTTGACTGTGGCCAAGGTTTCAATAGGGAATAAGCGTATCTTAAGGACACGCTTACATGGAGTTTTGAAACTCCTATTTCTACGTTGAATTTGTTATTGAAATTTAGGTTTAAATTAGGGATTCCACGGCGGGAAACCCTAAACAGAGCACGACGGCTCTTTGACCTAAAAGCTAGGGTAAATGGCGTTTTTGTCCACGACTGGGCACCTAGGCTATTAGGGTTTGAAACGGTAAAAAATTAGGGTTATTGACTCGGAGGTCAAACGGCTAGACCTAATTCCTTCAGAGGGAATCCTAACAGTAAAAATATGCAAACAGACAAAATATCGTACGGCAAAATTAAAGCGCGAGAAGTAAAGAAAGCGTCGCGACGATCACTCGCGTAAATTACAAATCCCCAAAAAAGAAAAGTAAAATAAATCGCGACCATGGCCTCGCGTAAATTACATCCATGGAACAAAATAAACTGAATAAATATTAATTGGAATTTAAGGATAATCTGAGGAGAGAAACAGAGAACATTAGTGAAAAGTTAGACATAAACTCATGGCAAATAATAAAATAGTGAAAAAGGAAAATCATGAAAATTGGGCGTTTGTTATTGTTTTATTTGACATTAATATTATTATATTTTTAAAAAAGACTTTAGTTTTAATTATGAAAAAAAGAATTTTATTCTTAAAAAGAGTTTAGTTTAATTTTGAAAAACGTTAATTTGAATTTTTAAAGAAAATGTTTTTGGTTAATTTTGAAAAAGAGGTTGAGTCTAAATTTTAAAAAATGTTTGGTTTTTTAAAGTTCTTATCACAACTAAAAAAACTCTAAACTAGCTTCTATAAAAATGATTTTTATTAAGTTTTAAAAAAATGTTTTACAAAAGTTTTAAATTAGTTTTAAAAAATGTTTTAAAATAAATTAGTTAGGAAAAACATGGTTTTAATTACAATTTTTTATTTAATTAAGTCATTTATTATTGAAAGAAAAAAACAAAGATTAATGAAATGAGGAGATTGACACCTGAGCTCAGGTGGGCTCAGTTCCTGGTCCTTGATGCGGTACCGCCGGTGTTACCGCAGTGTTAATAATAACATAGTAGTAAACTTTTGAATTGTGTAATAAAAACAACCATACCATATCAAAATAAATTAAACCAGAGAGCTTAACATGTAAAGGCAACAACGTAGTAATAATTGAAATAACTACAACTGCATCATAATCGAACCAAAATCAAGACATAATTTACCGAACCATGTAGCTGAATCAAAACCAGCAAAGAAATGTTTACACAGCCATCCGAAATGCGACAGAAAATTTACCTCGGAGTTGTTACTATTGTCGAATTCAATCCTGGATATTCAAAGCCGCGGTATGATGGACTAACGAAGATGATGTTGAATGAACTGAGCCTCCGCCGTCGGGACTTTTGCTCGCCGATAGCGCTTGGCCGATGATGAATTCAAGCCTTTTAGGGTTCTTCCGAAAAAATTCCCTCTTCCTCTGATGATCTGCTCTTGATTTTCTGATGTTAATGAAGTTTCCTCCCATCACTTATGTTTATATAGGTAACAAATTAGGGTTAGCTCTAACGTAATGCCCACTTTAAAGCCCAACTTAAAGAATTAGTCAAAACAAAATAAATAAAAAATTAAAACAAACTTAAAACTCTATTTATTAAACTAAATAAAAAAAATTAAAACAAACTTAAAACACTATTTATTTACTAAACATTAAAAATATAATAAAATCTTTTCTAATATTTTTAATTTTATGATTTTTGGATGTTTTTATGAATAATATGGAAAAAGTGAAAAAATAATATTTTTTTAAAAAATAATTTAAATAAAATACGAAAATAATAATTAAATAATAAAAAAAAAACTATTTTTGTTATTATTTTTTTTAATGAAAATAGAAAAATTAGAATAAAAATAAAATAAAAAACAAAAAGTGAAGAACGTGGGATTCAAACTCTCAACCTTTCACACTCACAACTCCTTACACACGATCTCTTGCCAATTGTGCTATTTTATTCATTTGAAATAAAGTGGCACTAGAAACCATGTAAATGTAGGGCAAAATTTGGGGTATTACAAATATCTTCCTATATTTTAAGCAAATCCAAACATGTTAGTAATGTTTTGAAACTTGATGTGTTAAATGTAGGATTTTAAAGTTAGCTAATACAAGTATATTTGAGAAAATATTTCTAGGCAGTAAAGAGTAATTTACGGTGAAAAGTACTTCAACATTCTTCTTTTGAATGTTAAACACCAATATACTATATCTATTAGGTTTTGAATGATTCATGATGGATGATAATTGAACTTAAGGGTTACTGACCAAAATGTGGTATTTGTTTTATATGACAAGGAATCCTGAAGTTCGTTGATGTTATATCATTAATGACATATACACTGCACTAATTGGCTTTTGTATGTTCAATAACTTACTTCAATGTCTAATCTTTTGAGCATTGCCTTGGATTGCAAATTTATTTTGATACATATATAATTTTTAACACTTCACTATGCACCCACACTAATATTTATCATCACTTATTTGAGAATGGGAAAAACCATGCATTCATCTACATTGATATTCTATTGCGGTGATGATTTCCTTTTAAAAACTACAAAATATAATCAGAATTGTACTTGTGGACATGCATGCTTAGGATGAGAAAACAGAGTTCAAATATTTCCTAGTAAGTTATCTGTGAAACTGAAGATATTACTAGTGGATAGATAGAGCATTGAATTATACATTATTATTGTTACTGTTGTTAGAAATGCATACAAATTTGTTAGTGACTATCGACAAAATTGTTGTTGTTATAGTTAGCGATGGCTTTTGTTGATGATGTTAGTCCGAATCTAGAGTGATTTGGAATTTGTTAAAATCATCATTAAATTCCCACCTCAAAGGGAACACAT